AGAGAGAGAGAGAGTGGTGATTCTGCACTTGGAAAATGTTTTTCCTAAAAAGAATGATCTTAGAATATGGAAAAATCATTGGTTAGTACGTTGCACTTAGAATATGACGTTTGCACTTAGCACTGTTAATTTTAACAAAAAAAGTGTTAAAAAAAAACATTGAGAAGCCAATGATTTCGCACTTTGAATATGGCAAGTAATAAAAACAACTATGTATGTATATATATATATATATATACATACCAATGCCCCCCCAAAAAGAAAGTAAATCATACTCATACTCATATGTACATAGGAATTGACTTTTCTTTTTTTGGATTACAACACGCATGTATATACAATTAATTATAATTATATATATATATATCCCCATTCCCCATGACAAAAAACAAACAAGTGAGCAGTGTTCAAATCCTGGTGGGGATTCCCAGTTCAGAACGTGATCATCCCCAATATGTCCGATTTGCTGCAGAAGCATTGCCAAAGAGCCAACAGGGGTCTTGAAGACGAAATCCCTGTAAAATTTCCATTAAATCACCATTAAACACCAGATATGATCATATTATGATCATCTTTGAACACTGCTCAAAAAAGAAGTATAAGTTCAGTATAAGTACTAAGCTAGCCAGAAGTTCCCGAGTCATCCCACCCGAGAGTACAGCCTCACATCGGTTTATTTGTGAGGCCACAAGTGCCACAAACCCTGAACAAAGCAGAAATTCCCTCCGGTAATCAAACATGGCAATGAACAACAATCCCTGGTTGGTGGTTTTAACCCCTCTGAAAAATATGAAAGTCAGTTGGGATGATTATTCCCAATATATGGATAAATAAACAATGATCCAAACCACCAACCAGCATCTATGACAGATCATTTTGCCACTAAGATCTTCAGTTGTAGTGGATTTTCCATTGCCACGTTTGATTATTAGAGGGTAAGAATAACAGGATTCCATAGGTGTCCCAAACTTTTGGAACAATCCTGACATAATATCATTCTCCCACCACTTTTCTGTGCTTTATTGATGACCACTGTCACTAAGCATATAATCACTGCTGTGAGTTTTGCACCCTTCCATGTCTGTATTATTCCCCATTGAATACCCCCACACGAAACCACGATCAAGTACTGGATCATTTTGGATCGACAGTATGGGTTTGTCTGAAAATAGTGTATCCCTAAATCATCCTAAATCGGCGTATCATCATTTTCACATATTTTCACAATAGACATGGCCATTTTATGGGTGTCCCCATTTTCACAGCCCATTTTCACTTTAGGGGTCACCAAAGTGATCGGGGTCACCAAATCCTCGGCCTGTGCGAATCAGTCCAGGCTTCTGACATTGGCTCAAAGCCTGACGGGATTTTCCAAAACAACTCGACGAAGGGAAAAGTTGAATCACTGGATTGGTTTAAGGGAAAATCTACAGGAAACCATGGTTTTTACCACCAAATATAGGGCTTTCCTGTAAATTTTCCCATAATCCAATTCTATGATTGAAGGGCCACCCAATCTGTTCGTATGTTCTTTCTGTAAAAAACACCAACAAAAACATTGTTTTTTCCAGTACAGATTGCCTGGGAATTGTCCCTTGAATCAGTGGCAGCTTCGATATCAGGTGATCGTCTTTGGCTACTGCTCTGCTTGCGGTGGCTGGGTATGGCTCGGTGCCATTCGTACTACCAATGACGAGAATTATTTGGCCCACTTTGGTGGATAGTCTATGAGGAAAGTTACATAGGTCGCATAGGTGTGTCTGAAAATGGGGTATATCCCCAAATAGCAATATTAAATAGTATTAATGAGGAGAACGATGGATAATGATGGATAATGATGATTCACCAGTGTATTTGGGTTACCCTCTTTTCAAACAAAACCACTTGATAAATTGAGCCTCGGTCATTCCAGCCATGGCACACTAGAAGGACGGCCTTGAAACAAACAAGGCATACATACATATCATATATATATATACTCGTCTGAGGCACTTTTTGCTAAAAGTATGCTCTACCCATGCTGCGGCGTAATTTCAAACTTGTGGCATTTTTGGATTTCTGCTGCGGCGTTTTTTTGCTTCTAAACAAAAACTGTGCAAGAAGCTGGAGCACGTGGTTTCAGCATTTTTCAGGGCTTCACGACATTATGGTCAGAAACTTTGACTCATTTTGACTCACTTATCTCAATGCAAACTGAAACAAGCTGCTAATACACTGGTAGGACAAAAGTTGCGCTTGTTGAGCTTCCCACAGTGAACATGGTTGGTTTCTTCTTCTGCACACCCTTTCCCCGGTAGAATCCTAGCATGGAGCTTTGCCGTACCCCGGTCGCATTTCCACCCTCCAAAAGCGTTAAAATCTTATATATTTAAAAGAGGGTGATAATTGACCGTCCCACACCTGCCACACAAAACGGACTTGAAAATGTGATCCGTGGTTGACCGAAATGGGTGTTTTGTAAAGCTTTCAAGAAGCATAAACTTTGTTCCTCCTGAAGGGTACAAAAAGCTTATTTAGTGGGAATTGCCAAGTCATTTGCTGATTTTTGCACGTGCTTCAGCTTGGCCATTACTCCACATAACATGTCTGTCTCCATCCTCTTTGTCTGCACTGCTACACATGTGCCGTGACGCAGGGTACAAAAAGCTTATTTAGTGGGAATTGCCAAGTCATTTGCTGATTTTTGCACCTGCTTCAGCTTGGCCATTACTCCACAGAACATGTCTGTCTCCATCCTCTTTGTCTGCACTGCTACACATGTGCCGTGACGCAGGGTACAAAAAGCTTATTTAGTGGGAATTGCCAAGTCATTTGCTGATTTTTGCACCTGCTTCAGCTTGGTCATTACTCCACATAACACGTCTGTCTCCATCTTCTTTGTCTGCACTGCTACACATGTGCCGTGACGCACTGGTAGGACAAAAGTTGCGCTTGTTGAGCTTCCCACAGTGAACATGGTTGGTTTCTTCTTCTGCACACCCTTTCCCCGGTAGAATCCTAGCATGGAGCTTTGCCGTACCCCGGTCGCATTTCCACCCTCCAAAAGCGTTAAAATCTTATATATTTAAAAGAGGGTGATAATTGACCGTCCCACACCTGCCACACAAAACGGACTTGAAAATGTCACCCGTGGTTGACCGAAATGGGTGTTTTGTAAAGCTTTCAAGAAGCATAAACTTTGTTCCTCCTGAAGGGTACAAAAAGCTTATTTAGTGGGAATTGCCAAGTCATTTGCTGATTTTTGCACCTGCTTCAGCTTGGCCATTACTCCACATAACATGTCTGTCTCCATCCTCTTTGTCTGCACTGCTACACATGTGCCGTGACCCAGGGTACAAAAAGCTTATTTAGTGGGAATTGCCAAGTCATTTGCTGATTTTTGCACCTGCTTCAGCTAGGTCATTACTCCACGTAACATGTCTGTCTCCATCTTCTTTGTCTGCACTGCTACACATGTGCCGTGACGCCGGGTACAAAAAGCTTATTTAGTGGGAATTGCCAAGTCATTTGCTGATTTTTGCACCTGCTTCAGCTTGGTCATTACTCCACATAACATGTCTGTCTCCATCTTCTTTGTCTGCACTGCTACACATGGGCCGTGACGCACTGGTAGGACAAAAGTTGCGCTTGTTGAGCTTCCCACAGTGAACATGGTTGGTTTCTTCTTCTGCACACCCTTTCCCCGGTAGAATCCTAGCATGGAGCTTTGCCGTACCCCGGTCGCATTTCCACCCTCCAAAAGCGTTAAAATCTTATATATTTAAAAGAGGGAGATAATTGACCGTCCCACACCTGCCACACAAAACGGACTTGAAAATGTGATCCGTGGTTGACCGAAATGGGTGTTTTGTAAAGCTTTCAAGAAGCATAAACTTTGTTCCTCCTGAAGTATATATATATATATATATATCTGGGTAAATTTAATCACGACCTCACTCACTGTTCCCCGAACCCTGGTTTATATTAGGGAAAATCATCCCCTTTTATGGCCGAACTATTCAGGTTAGTGAAATATCACAATTTACCCAGATGATGGTAAATGGTATGGTTTGCATCATGAATGGTAAAAAAAACAGTTAAATACATCAACTGGTAATTACATCAATGATAAAGTTCGATGATTTTCCCCCTAAAATCGTCATTTTTCGACCTCGAAGGAGATTGGAACTGATGGCCAAGGAGGGTGAAGGTCTGCCTGGAGTGATTGGTTGAACTGTCATGAACTGTCATGAAATCACTGCGCACATATGGTCTACTGAATCCTCAGAAGTATTTTCATGTGTATTGAAATGTATTGAACAAATGTACTACTTTTAGAAGTTCTTGTCTTCTTTGCTGTGGGGTGGAGCTGATATTTTCTGGTATTTGTTCCATAGGGAAATATACATATTGCACTTGTGGTTCTTATCTGGTGTGGTTGCAGGGTACCCCAGAAGTGATGGCCAAGTACTGATCAGCTGGATAAAAAATTGGCCGGCCATGCGGTGTTCCAAATGTGTTTGGTGCGGTAAAACATGGGTAAAACAGGGGTGTGAAGAGACCGTACAAAGGTTATGTTTAGACAAGAACATGTATCAGGAACCTTATGAAAGACATGGGTAATTGTTGTGGGTCATGGTTGAAACACAGGGTTATTGTCTCCAGGCCTGGATCGCTTTGGGGAATTTGACAATCCATTGTAAACTTGTGATGGTCAACGACCTGAATCTGAATTGAGAAGAAATAGGGATGCATACTCCCAGCATGAGGACCTTTGACCATGACATGTTTGAAAGTTGTTCTCTAAGATTGAAAAAAATAATGTGCTTGTGAGTCGTCTAAAACAACAAATAAATGGACTTGCCAACCGTAAGAGAAACTTCATCAAAAACTCCTAAGACTTAATTTGATCTCAAGTATACAGGCAATTTGTTTCTGCATTCCTTTTTTGTGTACACATTTGATCTCAATTCGGAGAAACGCAGATGTTTGCAGGTCAATCTGCCACGATCGGAACCTTGATGCATGCGCACAACAATCACAAGTTGATCAATGCCTATGAGAAGAAAACCACCGTGGTTCGATTCTTGGTAGCACCTGGGAAAACCTCACCTGGGAAAACCGCGTGACGCGGTGTCTTTTGCGATGACCAAAAGACACCGGAACAATTTGGGTCCAGTAGAGGAAAAGAGCCCTAGCAAAAACTGTAAATTCACAAGTGAAAATCTGATGTGCTCTGAAAGTTTGCCCAAATTTGATGCTTTGGACGATTATCTACATGATTTCTTCATTATTCAATAGCCATAAATTAAGGTCCCATCCTGTCTTTTTGGGCAGATCCATCTGAATTTTGTCTGCATGTTGGACCGTGACTGCAGACTTCAGTGTAATTCAGAGGGGTAAGTCAACCACCAACCAGTTATTGTTTCACAACATTTTCACAACATTTTCATAACATTTCACAATTGAGATTCCCTCCATAGTTCTGGGTAAATTTCATCACGACCTCACTGTTCTCCCGAACCCTGGGAATCATGGTTTATTTTAGGGAAATCATCCCCAAATGGCCGAACTATTCAGGTTTGTGAACTGTTATAATTTACCCAGATAGTTTCACAGCACTTGGGATGACTATGGATGACTTGGTCCAGGATACTTCGAGAATGTGTTGATGCAGCAGCGGAAGGGTGTGACTTGGCAGCTTTTCCCCCTACTAGTTGGACAATATTAACCTACCATCTATCGTCAATATTTGGCGAACATCATATATATATATTATGTATATACAGTATACATCATCTGCATATCATTATCATTTACATTCATTTACCTGAAATTTCTACTTAGACATAATCGACGAAAGAAAACACAGCATCAAATATCACCTACAGTAAAATCACCTATCTACTACTGGTTGGTGGTTTGGAACATGAATTTCATTTTTCCATATATTGGGAATGTCATCATCCCAACTGACTTTTATATTTTTTAGAGGGGTAGGTCAACCACCAACATGACTATCATCTACTGTAATTTTGTATATTTCCGAAGGAGCTGCGTAGGTAACCCCTTCACGGAAGTCGCGAACGGAACACATATCCTGTTGATTTTCCGGTGATTGGCACTTAGTTTCAGGGTCAATCTTGAGTTTCGGGGATGTGAGCATAATACAAATATATATATATATATATGTATATATTAATTTTACATGTGAGATATATCTATATACATACTTAATATACATCTATTTTAATAATATTACATATATTTACATATATTATAAACATATATATATATATACACGTGTATTGTTCTTCTGTGCCTTCACAGTCCAACATTTCGCAGCCCTTTGCAATTCTTTGGCAACGGTTTGGGATTTTGCGAGTGGCAATCCTGGCACGTTTCAGCTTGGTGAAGTATGAATGAACATTTACCCAGATGGTTACTGAAACTGTTCCAACAATGTGATGTATATAATTGCAATGTTAAGAGATATATATATATATAAAAAAAAAACATTTGGGCAATGAAGAGAAGAACCAGGAAAAGACAGAAACCTTGACAACTAACAAATCTACTAGACAGACACTATGAATTAAGATGAATTAAGCACATGTTGAATTATATTTTGATACATGATTTCTTTTCTTAAAAATTGCACATACATTGTATTAGCTAATTTTCTTAGATATTGTGCTTCCCTTAGCAAAGTACGTGACATCATTCGTGTAGCATTTCTTGAAACTCGCTTTGGCCTTTTTTTCATTTAATGTGGTCCCCGAGTTTGGTGAAACGCATCCCACCTGGGAATCGAAAAAAAGGGCACCAGGTCTACCAGGTACCGTACGGACATTGAATCATAACTTACCCTCTGGTAAACGTTTACATATTTGTGGAAAATCACAATTTTTAATGGAACTCACTATTTTAATGGCCATTTTCAATAGCTATGTTAAATTACCAGAGGGTATCCGTGGAATCATGTTTTTTTTCTCCAACTACATTACATAGTACAATGGCATAACAACGTCTATACGTTGGGAATACTCACGAAGCAGTATACATATATACCATACACATACCATATATACCCAATTAAATTTATGTTAATCAAATTTAATCCGCAAAAATGGTGGATATATCATTGATTTCCTATGATTTCCTTGTATCCCCGTGACTTATCCGTTTAACATCAATACCACGATCAGACAAACATATCTAAATTATCCAATGTTGATCAATATTTTTCGCCATCATGAGCATTAATCATCATTATCCAAACACCATCAAATATCCAACGTCACTCTTCATATTAGATATCATTAATCATTAATATCCAAATATCCAGTGTCACCCATATATAATCCACTATAATGCACTATATAATCCACTATATAATCCACTATATAATCCACTATATAATCCACTATATAATCCACTATATAACCCACTATATAACCCACTATAATCCACTATAATCAACCATATAATCCACTATAATCCACTATAATCCACTATAATCCACTATAATCAACCATATAATCCACTATAATCCACTATAATCCACTATTTAATCATATTAGATCCAGGTGATGGATTTGAAGAGCTTCACCTTCTGGAACGCGCAACTCATTCCCTGGCACCTTGGACGCACCGGCCCGGGATGGTCGGTCCTATTCACTGGATGGTGGCCTCCAGTTATGTATGTTGGTATTTACACCCCATGAACTATAGTTATCTGGTTGGTGGCTTGGAACATGAATTTTATGACTTTCCATTCAGTTGGGAATGTCATCATCCCAACTGACTTTCACTCCATCATTCTTCAGAGGGGTAGGTCTACCACCAACCAGTTATTCTATATCTATCATAAACCATAGAACTCAGTCACTTTTTTTAAGGCAACTTTTCACGCTACGTCTGGGGCCCCATCCTGTGTCGCAAGGAAAAACAACAGATCCATGCAGCTTTGGTACAAATTTCCATAGTAGGTGAATGATTGCCACAGGAGAATTTTGGGGTGATTTCAGGCTTTTCACGTCTCGATTTCATCAGTACATACCCATGATACCCTTGATACCCATTCTATCTGTCTGTATCTGGGGTATTGTGAACATGTAGCTGTTAAGATCAACCAAATGGAGTTGATCATTCTACTTGCTGTACCCCATTCTCTGGTACTGTTTCACCCTCTGGTAAACTAACAAAAAGCTATGGAAAATCACCGTTTTTGATAGCTAAATCAACGAACTAAATGGCCATGTTCTATGTCGCAAAAGTGTATCTTAAATTACTAGAGGGATTCCAAAAACAGTAGAAGCCATTAATCCCATTAGGATCCCATGAAAAGTCACCATAAACTTACTGGTGCTAAACGTAGGGAATGGATGGGTTGCTGGGGGTTGCTGGGATGATGACATTACTAGTGATGGATTGGATCATTCCCGAAAATTCCCTGCTAAGCTAAGCACCAGTAAGTAAAACCAGCCATTTTTTTCTCACCACCACGGCGCAAACTGCTGCGCTCCCGAGGATCACTCTGCTGGCCATCGGTTTCTACATCGGGGCATCGGCCAAAATGGTCCTGGGGGGACGCATCTCTCTGGGAGCTCTGGTGACCACCATCAACGCGCCCTGACGCTGCTAACGGAAAGGGACGACCCAAAAATTTGGGATTTATTCTTGGGACTTCATCAGGTTTAGTGAGATTTAGTGAGATTTATATAACTAAATTTTTCATGCAATGGCTTTCTTTTTTGGGATCTATAATGGGTTCTACGTTTTTTTTTCCGTTCTGGTAAGTTGTCACAGTATTGAAAATGGCAATTGGTTCGTTGATTTTCGTATATACCTGTGGCCATGACATGGTACAACGGCAGTTGGGTGTTTCAACATATACACAGAAACCATCGAAAAAACACCCGTGAAACCGGGAATAACCAGCGAAAATTGGCTTGACAAGCAATAAGTAAAAGGGATTCACCAAGAAAATTTTAGTTTGACCTTGAACATCCTTGAACTACCCTCTGGTAAACTAACGTAACTATGGAAAATCACCATTTTTAATGGGTAAATCCACCATAAATGGCCATTTTCAATAGCTATGTAACAAATTACCAGAGGGTATTTGAAGAAACTGTGTATATCCATGGTGAACTATCCTGTGCGACTTCGCAAGTTGGGAGCCAACACGGCGGACCGTCGGGATGACTTTTCGGCTTCTCAGTCATCAGCGCAACGTAAAGCGCAACGATTTTCTCCATTTGAATCTTTCGGGATCTTAGATATCTTACCCTCTGGTAAACTAACATAGCTATTGAAAATGGCCATTTATAGTGAGTTTTCCCATTGAAAATGGTGATTTTCCATAGCTATGTTAGTTTACCAGAGGGTAATCTTAGATGGGCCATGATCTCATGAAAAAATGGCGCCTTGTTTGGTCTCCAGCCTCCCAGCATCAACGTGGCGTAACTTTTGGGCTTCTCGTTAGCCTCTGGTAAACTAACGTAACTATGGAAAATCACCATTTTTAATGGGTAGTAAATCCACCATAAATGGCCATTTTCAATATATAGCTATGTTAGTTTACCAGAGGATACCTGAAGCCTTTTCCAAGGCATCACTTCAGTTCTAAGGTGTATAAGGACCTGGGCGACCGGTTTTCGACGATCTTGGACGGCCTAAAGGCCGGGCTGGTGACCAGTCGGGAAGGCTCGCAAGTTGGTTGGATCTCCATCTTTTTGTGACTGGACAAGAACATACAAATACATTATAAAATAATAATATATATATATATGTATGTATATAATATGTATACGGTATATATACATATGTATATATATACTGTATATATATATATATACATATATATATATATATACAAATACATATACATATGTATATATAGATATACATATACATATATATACACATGTATATATACATATATTGCCTGGGTACAGTATATGAGATAAATGATCCCAAATATGATTGGATAACTTAGCATGGTCATGAAAGACTTATCCTTGATTCATCCCCCCGGTATGGTAAAACAAACCAACACGCATCAGAGGTGAGGTCGCATGAGCCATCCAAAATATTGAGAGTGTCTTTTCTATCTGCTGCTGCTGCTGCTGCTGGTGGTGGTGGTGGTGCTGGTGCTGTTGCTGGTGTTGATGTTGTTGTTGATGTTGTTGTTGATGTTGTTGTTGATGTTGCTGTTGCTGTTGCTGTTGTTGTTGTTGTTGTTGATGTTGTTGTTGTTGTTGTTGTTGTTGTTGTTGTTGACCCCCCATGTGTGTTTGCGCGCGCGTGTGTGTGTTAGCTTGCCGAAGCACGCCAGGCGCTGAGCAAAGCTATCAGCCCTTTGTCTGGGCTCACGATCCAATTCAACTTGGAGACGGACATTCCTGCGCTCCTGGGACTGACTATGAAGATCTCGATTGGATTTATATTTTTAATATATAGTTATATAGATATACTGATTTCATATATATATATATATGTATATCATATACATATTATATAATATACATATTATATTTATTTGATGTATACAATTACTCGCTGGTCTCTTGTCAAGCCTGGCGAGGAAGTTTTGGTGTTTTCCAACATCTATGTTAGCAAGAAAACGCTCCAACATTATACCTGTTCATTGCGAACATGGATGTCCACACATGTGTGGGGATCCTTGTTTGTTAGAACGATTTGGCAATTTAGCAGCCTCATTTATTGGGACTAGAGTATGTACTGTATATGTATGCACATGATAATATATATATATATACACATGTATACAATGACAATTCAATACGCATTAATATATACTAGATACTGTAAGTATATGCGATGTACAGACCATGTACTGCGCATACGCTAAGTATCAGAAATCTGGCTGTTCTTGGGGCATCTTCCGGTGTTTCACAACGTATTGCCTTGTTCCTCTGGTAAACTAACATAGGTATGACAAAAAATCACCGTTTTTGGCAGGTAAATCATCTGTAGATGGGCCATGTTTCATCCTTTTTCCGCTATGTCAAATTGCCAGAGTCGGTATGTGGTGAAGTACATGGACTGCCAACTGACTGACTCTGTTGAATGTGTGTAATGTGAGAAACCCAATGCCATAAACCACCCCCAAGATAACCATAAATGGATGGGATTTCAACCATCCAAAAATGGTAGATTTATTCATTGGGTTTACCACAGTTGTTTGGAGGTTTCTCGAACAGTGGAGGACCCCGAGGACCCCCAAAAAGGCGCACTAGGGATTCCCAGTGGATGGTGATACTCCCCAATACATTGGCGAGTCTGAGCCCGGGACTATGAATCAACAGGGCATTCTTACTGGTGCTTAGCTTTGCAGGGAATTTTCGGGAATGATCCAATCCATCACATTCGTAATCTCATCATCCCAGCAACCCCCAGCAACCCATCCAGCAACCCTACGTAAAACGCGGCAGCATTTGAACACCCAAAAATCATATGAATTGGTGATCTATCCCATGATTTCCCCATGAGTCCATTGCAAGTCCATGGCAATAACTAGCTGTAACTAGCTGTCACATCTCCGAGGAGAGCGAAGGTCTTTGATATGAACCAGCAGTTTGCTTTGGAGTATGGAAACCAGCTGCAGAGGAACCAGCTGAGAATGTTGTTTTTGGATGTTTTTGAGCTGTTTGGCAGGACGATAGAACTTGGGCCCCCCAAATCAATAAATATTATCCACAGGATTTTTCAGAAGGAGAACAAAATATGACTTCCAAGTCCTCTTGGAAAAGATAACTGGTTGGTGGTTTGGAGCATTTTTTATTTTCCATTTCATATATGGGATAATCCTTCCCATTGACTTTCATATTTTTCAAGATGGTTATTGCACCACCAACCAGATAAGATTGGGCTTTTAGGTCCTAGCTTTTGAATGCTTTTGATGCAAAAGAATTGAACATCTCAGCCACGAAGATTTCCAGCTTGCAGGGAGTCTGATTGTAAATCGCCATCCCAATGGTCGTGATTTTTTTCACGACGCAGTCTGCGATGTCACCGGAATGATGGGACTTGGACGGTTGGATGAACCGAAAAAAAATCCTGGCGCCAGGTGAATTATGAGAAGAACAATCAACCAGAATTGTTGATTAACAATAGTTAATCCCCATGAAATCTCTTGATGAACGTGGTACGCTCTGGTTATGACCCACATAGCTAACTGGAAAATTACCCATTGATAGATGATTTTCCCAGCTAGAAACCTCCATTTAGTTCAGGGATTTTCCATGGCTATGTTAGTCATAACCAGATGGTACCATCTTTTGACCATGCCACATATGATCAATGACCATTTTAGGAACCTAAATTGGAGGTACCTACCATATATAAGGCCTATGTTTTGGGCCTAAATTTCAGGGAATATCCAAACCATTTCCAAGTCATCACCATTTTCATGGGGATGAAAACACCATCCCCAGTCATGGGTGGTAGGTTTATTAAAATTTATGGCAGCCAGGGTTTCCCACATGAACCATGAATGGCTTCTTGGGGATCAAAAGCCCACCAGTTAGATTGATGGAATATCCCCACTTATATATGGAATAACATATGGATTATATATATAATATATATATATGGGTTAATGAGGGAAAAACAATGCCATAAACCATCCATGACTGGGAATGGTTTACAGCAGCTATAAAAATGCTGATTTGGGGGATGCTTTTTTTGCTTTACCCACATTAACCCATTTATGAACATGTTATACACCATCGTTAACCCTAGTGAAATTGGTAGTTATAGGCTATAGGCTCTCCCATTTGCAGAATTTGACTTTCATGGATTGCATCACCTACCCTCTGGTAAACTAACATAACTATGGAAAATCACCATTTTTTTATAGGTAAATCGACCACACATGGCAATTTTCAATAGCAAGCTGTAACAAATTACCAGAGGGTATATCCCAGTAAATCCCATAAAACCCCATTTAGTCACCATCAAAGAAACCATGGATCCCAGAAAGCCAGCACCGTTGGTCGGCCGGTCGCGTAGGAACTTTGATGCGGTGCCCCTGGCCCTCGAAAAGCTTCAGCTGGACCAGTCTCCTCTGGCCACTTGGCACGGCGGAGGGGTCCCCTTGTTTTCCTGTCGATTGTTGATGGGGTATATTCCATGATATATATATATATATATTATAATATATATATATTATAATATATATGTATATATATATATTTATATATACACGTAATTGGATTTTGCTATTCGTTTTCCTTTTCTTATGGGCTTGTATGAAAATAGGGTAGCCCAAACTCCATGGGTTAATCATGGTTAATCATCATTTTCCCTATTAAAGCAGCAGCAATTTTGGGGGTATACCCCATTTTCACAGACATCCATATTTTCTGTCGGGGGCAGAGTCAGTTTTTTTTCCCGTTCTTTTCAGTGATTTTGCCATTTTGCTGTTTTGTGGGGTGTCAAGAATGTTTAGATCACTCATGGTCACTGGTTGAGATAGCGATTCACCCCTTACCCATAGGATCCATGTATGCTATATATGGTAACATTTACCATCAATATACCCCAAATGTTAGCATATATACCATACATGGATCCTATGGGTATAGCCCAATAGGGCGGCCTAAGGGCACTCTCCAGCCGTGGAACCGTGGCACCGTGGAGCCCAGCCGTGGGTTACCTACGGTTTTCACATGTGGGTTACTACTACGGAGTATAACATTTTCATAAATGGGTTAATGTGGGTAAACGATAATACATGATAATACAACATTACCATACATGACCCAAATCACAATTTTTATCACCATTGTTTTACCGTTTTAATTATTCCACTTGAAAATAAGGATTATAGATGATTATAGTGGGATTGTAGTGAATAATAGTGATTTAACCAAGAACAATTGTGTTTTTTCCCGAGAGCGTCTGAGCGCAGGGTTCTTCCAATAGTGGGGGTCTGTAAAACATCTTCTCATCTTCACATCCTCTCATCTTCACATCCTCTCATCTTCACATCTTCTCATCTTCACATCTTCTCATCTTCACATCTTCTCATCTTCACATCTTCTCATCTTCACATCTTCTCATCTTCACATCTTCACATCTTCACATCTTCACATCTTCTCATTTCCACATCTTCTCATCTTCACATCTTCTCACATCTTCTCACATCTTCTCACATCTTCTCATCTTCACATCTTCTCATCTTCACATCTTCTCATCTTCACATCTTCACATCTTCACATCTTCTCATCTTCACATCTTCTCCTCATCTTATCATCTTCACATCTTCTCACATCTTCTCACATCTTCTCACATCTTCTCACATCTTCTCACATCTTCTCACATCTTCTCACATCTTCTCACATCTTCTCATCTTCACATCTTCTCATCTTCACATCTTCACATCTTCTCATCTTCACATCTTCTCATCCTCCCATCTTCTCCTCATCTTCTCATCTTCACATCTTGTCACATCTTCTCACATCTTCTCACATCTACTCATCTTCACATCGTCACATGATCACATCTTCTCCTCTTGCCCTCTTGCCCTCTTGCTCTCTCCTTCTTTTCTATTTCTCTTCTGAAGGCGGGGGCAGGGGCAGTGCAAACGAGACGGCACGAAACGCAACCCTTTCGCACCAAATGAGGGTCGATCGGCAAAAACTGAAGTAAAATTGCGATTTTTCTTGTGCCGGAGCAACCCTTTCGCACAAAATGAGGGTCGATCGGCAAAAACTGAAGTAAAATTGCGATTTTTCTTGTGCCGGAGCAACCCTTTCGCACAAAATGAGGGTCGATCGGCAAAAACTGAAGTAAAATTGCGATTTTTCTTGTGCCGGAGCAACCCTTTCGCACAAAATGAGGGTCGATCGGCAAAAACTGAGGTAAAATTGCGATTTTACTTGCCCCGGAGCAACCCTTCGCACGAAATGAGGGTCGATCGGCAAAAACTGAGGTAAAATTGCGATTTTTCGTGTGCTGGAGCAACCCTTTCGCACGAAATGAGGGTCGATCTGCAAAAACTGAAGTAAAATTGCTATTTTTCTTGTGCTGGAGTAATCCTTTCGCACGAAATGAGGGTCGATCGGCAAAAACTAAGGTAAAATTGCGATTTTTCGTGTGCTGGAGCAAACCTTTCGCACGAAATGAGGGTCGATCGGCAAAAACTGAAGTAAAATTGCGATTTTTCGTGTGCTGGAGTAATCCTTTCGCAGGAAAAGGGGTTTGTGTGTACGAGCGTTTCTGTGTAAAGATGTTTGTGTGTAAAATTGTTTGTGTGTGTACAAGTGCATCTGTGCAGAAGTCTTGTGTGCAAAACCTTCTGTGTGTAAAAGTCTTTGTGTGTAAACGGGTTTGTGTGTACGAGTGTTTCTGTGTAAAGATGTTTGTGTGTAAAAGTGATTGTATGTAAAATTGCATCTGTTTAAACGTGTTTGTGTGTAAAAGCTTCTGTGTGTAGAAGTGTTTGTGTGTAAACGTGTTTGTGTGTCGGAGTGTTTCGGTGTAAAGATGTTTGCGTGTAAAAGTGTTCGTGTGTACAAGTGCATCTGTGTAAAAGTGTTTCTGTGTCAACGCTTTTGTGTGTAAAAGTGTATCTGTGTAAAAGGGTTTGTGTGTAAGAGTGTTTCTGTGTATATAAAGATGTTTGTGTGTAAAAGGGTTTGTGTGTAGAAGTGCATCTGTGTAGAAGTGTCTGTGTGTAAAAGCTTTTGTGTGTAAAAGTGTCTGTGTGTAAAAGGGTTTGTGTCTTAAAGCGTCTCTGTATAAAATGGTGTGTGTGCAGAAGGGTTTCTGTGTAAAAGGTGTTTCTGTGTGACAGCGGCAATGTGTGTGTAAAAGCAGCCTTGCTTACATGTTTTGTTTTCTTTGGCATGTTTGTTTTCCGGTCATCCGTGTCATGTTCAGGCCTTGCTGGCAAGTTTGACGCAGTCCTGACTTGTTTGCTTGGCATGTTTAGTAGGCATGCTTACTTGTACCCTGAAAGAAATATGAATGGATTAATTGTGACGTGCATAACCCCCTATATCGTGAATCAAATTCAGCGCCAGGAGGCTAAAAAGCCTAAGGTTCCTGGCGCTGGTTTTTTGTTTGCGTGATGGCGTTTTGAACAACATTTATGGCATTATAGGGCCATACAACCGTAACATAACCCCAAACAGAGAACTCCTATGTAGCGAAGCATGTTGCGTCATAGCGAGCCACCCCCAAATGAAGCGGCACACGTTCATGGGAAACCGGAATCCAAAGCATGTTTGCACATGCCATGTTAGCGTTTTTTTTGTTGGAAAGTTTTTGTGCCTGCCAGCTCAGGTTCAGTGGGTTAGTGTTTTTGGTTGGACTAGAGGTACTTAAAATCATCCATCCTTTTGCATTGACAGGCACGATTTCAAAAGACTCCCATGCAACATACATTCAACAAGTGTCATATTGGCAAACAAAACCACAATTAGCACCAGGGAGGTTAAAATTTCAAACAGTTTTTCTCACTATGAAACATGCACTATGTCGGCAGGTGCATTCCCACAAACTTTGATTCATTTCAAATGAAGAATTGAACCAACACAGGCTGTGATGTTTTTTTTTGCATTTTCCAGTTCGGCATTTTGCCGGGATGTTGTCGGTGCTGCGCTCTTTGATTGTCGCTGCCCGGGCGGTCTCAACACCAGAGGGGCCCCGCATCCAAATTGAAGAATCATCTTTGCAGTGGCTCTTCCCGCTGGCAACCGATGTTCACAGGCCTTTTGGTCCAAAAAAACAGGGTTGGAGGGATTGTAGGATCATAGGGGTTGCTCACAGCGATTAATTTGTCTTTGTTGAGTGAGTGTGTTTTTTCAGGTGTTCCAACGAAGATGACGGAATCGCATCTGATGTCGTACTTCGACGTCGTGCTGGGTGGTTTCTGCAATCAGTTGCAGCCAGTACTCATCGCAGGGAAAGGTCTATGTATGACATTTCAATTGTACCGCTGTTTCTGGATAGAGTTCTGAATGTTCAGATGACTTCCACTGAATGGCACGATGTTGTGGATGCAGCATTGGCGCATCTTGCTCCAGAGTTGCATCTGCTAAGAACGGGAGGAAGTTCAATCAGTGACACTGACACTTGTTTTTGATTCATTTTGTGTTGAGCAGTTGTCCACCCTGTGGCGCAATCGGTTTTCGTTTTGGAAACATTGGGAGTTTATGTTTATATCATTTATATCTTATCTTATCTTATGTCGTTTGTTTGGGTGGGTTGTTCAAATGTAACGACAGTAGCCTGAGGACCGAATGGATTCACAGGATGGCGTGCAAACTGGAGGCAGCCAAAGTGGATGTGCAAGTGGGCCTCAGGCTATGTCAGACACCATTGAAACCATGGACAGCTTGAGCAACCTCTCCGTATCACATGCTCCGTCATCTGCGTATGAGCCCGAGATGGAACGCCTGAAGAATGAATTGGATGTGTGTCAACAAGACGCTTGTCCGTGATAGCAGATGCAGAAATTCAGATTATACAATTAGATAGTATGATAGTAAGAACATGTCTGTTTAGTATATAGGCATATCTCATGTTACATCATCCATCCATCTACATGCTGATGCACTGCTGCAGTGAAGTTGACATGGGAGTTTCATGGAGGGAGGGAAGATATTTGCTTAAAAATTGTTTGCCAATGTTATGCTAGCATGTTTGAAGGTTTGACGGTTGCTGTTACTCAGTTAGGATTTTGATTTGAGTTTGACAGGCAAAACAGTACGTATGATCCGTATGATCATTTTGATATATAAATATGTCTCTCGTCTCTCCTCTCCCTTTGTTTTTTTGATCATGCAATGCCGTGCAACCAAACCTAGGAGAACTTAAAGCTGAAAAGGAAATGCGAAAAACTGCCGAAGCTGATGCGAGCGAATCAGACTTTGAAGCAGAAAATCCGCCGGCTAGAATTGAGGGAGGCAAAACGCAAACATGCCCAAGTGACCGAGATTGACACAAACCCCTTGCAAATTGAACGTATCAAGGGGGGTACTGGCAAACGGTTGACTTTGCAATCGTTCATTGCTCTCGCCATACGGCGGAATTTTGGAAATTGTGCGACAGCAGACGTAGGGGCCATGCTCCTTGAGGACATAAGCAGATTCACTGTTTGTCGCTCGGAAAGCAAGACCGGCACGGCCCTGATTGCATCATCCCGGTTGTTCTTCCATGCAATGCTTGGTGATCTCACAAATCCATCCACTGGCGCTTTTAAGCTCGTGATCCACTCGTTCCTTCAAGATGCAACAAATGCTGGCATATTGAAGGGCTCAAAGTTGTCAGCTCTTATCCTGCGGAGTGCTTTTCTGAAAGAACAACCTCCAGGGGACGACGTCAACAACCATTTTTTGGACGAGGGTTGGCAGTTTGATGACTGGTTTGATCGCATCATCCGAGTGGCTGACGTGTTGCCAGTCGTTGCGGGTGATTCTGGAGTTACCGTCGCACAGACTTTGAAGCAGCTAGAAGGTCTGGGATGTCCAACGTGGAAAGATATTCAAAACAACCCAGATTTGCAGGGGCAACTGAGTGTTCAACTTCAGCATGTGTTGTTGTATTGTCAATTGTGTGTCTGTTTGTGCGAGGGGCGAATTCTTACTCACCGGCACTGGCACCACAATATATCACGACTTCACAACTTCATGACTGAGGACGGTACCAACTCAACACATGTAATTGTACTACATATTTAAAATGTGTAGTTGGGTATGCCTCAAAATGAGGTGCCCTTTTTGATACAAAAAGTACCCTAAGAATTAGGGTAACTTTAGGCCCCTCATTTTTAGACATATGCAGAAGAAAAGGCCCCCACAAGTCCCCAGATTTCCTTCCGAAACCCAAGAAAAAGACAGCTTTCTGGGGACTTGTGGGGGCCTTTTCTTCTGCATATGTCTAAAAATGAGGGGCCTAAAGTTACCCTAAATTTTAGGGTACTTTTTGTATCAAAAAGGGCACCTCATTTTGAGGCATACCCAAGTATAACCCCATTGACGTTTCCCTTACAAAAAGGGAGACCTTAAGCCACTTACAAAGCGAGCATTTTATAACATACCCAGTTTTTGAGGTCTGCATTTCTGGGAAGTGCAATGACACCGGTCTAGGGCGAAGAAATTGCAAAATGCATTTTGTAAGGATCTTGCTGGGGATTTCCAGGAAGACCGGTTTAGAGCGAAAAAAATTGCAAATGCATTTTGTAAGGATCTTGCTGGGGATTTCCCAGGAAGACCGGTTTAGAGCGAAGAAATTGCAAAATGCATTTGTAAAGATTTTCGTCTGTTTTTCATAGCATTTTGTAGATGTTTCAGATGTTTCACTGTTTTTTTACAAAATGAGGATCTTTAACCCCTCCCCCCAAACGTTAAAGAGGAATAAAGCACTACCCTTCGAATAGTGAACACGGTGATCATCGGTGATTGATTTTTACTTTGAAGAGGTATTTAATATTAGGGAACCCTAGTATGTTTTTTTCGATTTCAAAATCAATTAATTTTCCTTATATAACGCAATTAAAATATTGCCCAAATTTTAGAAGAGATTACGAAAGCTTCAACGGCTTCTTTGTCAGCCAGGGATTTCCAAGGGGATTTCCCAGGAAGACCGGTTTAGAGCGAAGAAATTGCAAAATGCATTTTGTAAGGATCTTGCTGGGGATTTCCCAGGAACACCGGTTTAGAGCGAAGAAATTGCAAAATGCATTTTGTAAAGATTTTCGTCTGTTTAATAGCATTTTGTAGGTGTTTCACTGTTTTTTTACAAAATGAGGGTCCCTAACCCCTCCCCCTAAACGCTAAAGAGGATGTAGTCATGAAAATGTGTGCTTCTCGACTCAATCTTAGGCCTTCGTGCGATGAGGACGGCTCTGGCGGTCCTTGCATTCTCCATTGGTACATGGCAACGACGGACGCAGGTCCAAATGAGATTGGGGCGAGAAAGATTGTACAGTCAGACCTCAAAGATTTGGATTCGGTCATGTTCACCGAAACAACATGCTTGGAGCATTCGCAACATCTAGTGTCTTTGGCGTGTCTCAAAGCTGCTGATGCAATGCTGCATGACTACCGATCATGGAAGTATTATGCCAGCCTAGCAACCAGCTCAAATGTGTGCCGGCTGATGGCAAGGAAAATTTTTGACTTGTGGGCTACGACTTATGGGTTCCAATCTGCCAAGAAGGACTGCAAACGTCTTTGGCCCAAAGCATGCGCAGGGCGTTGGAGTGGATGTGACAAGCCAGAGAAACGTTTCCTGTCTTGTACCCAAGAGAGATTGGTGCCAGTGTTGTCCAACATACTACAAGGGCAAACGGTCACTAGGAACACCACTGGTGGCATGAATTTGGATGAGCTTCAGATTGAGGAAAGCAAAGCTTATTCAGAGAAGATGACAAGATGGAAAAAGAAAATGTTTGAAGTGGTCAATGATGATTTGTGGTGGCGCTGTCTGGGAATTATGAACGAGGTTCGCCAGCCTTTGAGCCACCTGTCAAACTACCTTCAGCAACGCCAGGGAGAATGGGGACACATTGCGCAACTTTGTACTGGAAAGGCTGATTCCATTTCCCAGGAATTTTGGGAAGTCTGGCCCCGTCTGCAGCGTCATATATCTGGGGATGATGAGGATGCTGAATTTGCCCGAATACTCGCGCATCTTGCATTCTTGTTGAGGCAGTTTTTGTTTGTTGCGGAATAGCTATACTTGATCTTTTATCCTTTATTATTTGTTCAATTCAAGTCCATATCAGATCAGTATGTTCCATGTTCTATATTTATAGTAGTTATATGTCGTTATAAAGTTTTATATACTTACATAGTTACATTCTTATTTGACATTTCTTTGTTTTGGTCAGCCCAACACAACAAAACGATGTGACATTGTGACAAAACTGTGACCCTGACTATGGCAATGGCTTGGCAAGGGCCAATGATTCAACGATGGCCGAGTAAATGAATATATTCGGTTTGTTACCTTAAGTTAAATCATGTAAGAATGTAAGAACCTAATCTAGTTTTATTGCTGGCCTTTGGCTATCAACATTTACAGTTGCATCATCCTTTCCCGGACCCTGTTTGTTTGCGTTTTTCTTCGAAATCAGTCATTGTTGATTCAGATACAGATACCCGATACCGATACCCTCTATACTGTTATAATACTCATCACAATTGCAACCAGACCATCTTCATCTTCAGTATGAATATGATCATGAATCATGAATTGAACCATGAATCATGAATTTCATGAACCATTATCGCCTTAGTCAGCGGAGTGAATTGAATGTTTTGCAAACACGATTGCAGTTGCAAGTTGCATGCCGTGTCTGCCGTGTTGGGCCCAGGATGGACAACCTTATGCATGCAGCCAGCGGCTACAACCGAAAGGTCAAGAAACCTTTGGAGCGTGGCGTCTACATCTTATTCTGCTTGGCGGAGGATTTGCCACGCAGCTTCAGTCTCTTGAAAGCAGTCGCAAATCACAACATTCTCACAGTCTCACAACAGTAGAAACAAGAACATCATAATTATCTCTCAACAATTTCACAACATAAATATCACCGATTCATCAATGATAAAGCTGTGCACTGTGGCAGCTGTTCCAGTGACAAACACATTGGAGTTGCACACATACGACGGGCATGACAGGACATGACACCGACACCTGGTATATATATATATGCATACAGTACACAGTACAAACATTACATATACATGGAATACATGGACTCACATATACCCACACTGCTACTTAAATACTTGGCACATTGGCACATTGGCGCACATAGGCACATAAGGTTAGGTTAGGTTCGAGGTTTTGGAATACTTGAATACTACTTAAGACTCAAGACTTACTACTTACTACGCTTCCTGGACTTCCCAGCACATGTACTATACCGGAATCTGAGTATTATTGTTTTTTGAACCTCAACTTCCAGAACATCATAACATGTCGCGTAGCTGTGAAAATCAATTACTCTACTTCGTGTGATCCCCACCATGACATGTCAGGACGTATATTTGGACATATATTTAGTATATTCTGACATCCTATCTGACATATATTCTGGCATATATTCTGGCATTCTATCTGGCATATATCCTGACATTCCACCTGGCATTCTATCTGGCAGTCTATCTGGCATTCTATCTGACATATTTTCTGACATTTCATCTGACATATATTCTGGCATTCTACCTGTCATTTATTCTGACATATATTCTGGCATTCTATCTGACATATATTCTGGCATATATTCTGGCATTCTATCTGGCATTATATCTGACATATATTTTGGCATTCTATCTGACATATATTCTGGCATATATGTTGGCATTCTATCTGGCATTATATCTGACATTCTATCTGACATTCTATCTGGCAGTCTATTGGCATTCTATCTGGCATTCTATCTGGCATCCTATCTGACATTCTATCTGGCATTCTATCTGGCATTCTTTCTGGCATTCTTTCTGGCATTCTATCTGGCATTCTATCTGGCATCCTATCTGGCATTCTATCTGGCATTCTATCTGGCATATCTTCCTACATGAGGTCCGGCAGGGAACACTTGGCGTGGATACTCGCAGTTGAGGTCCGGCAGGAAACACTGGGCGTGGATGGTCGTGGTTGAGGTCCGGCAGGCACTGGGCGTGGAACTCGTGGTTGAGGTCCGGCAGGGAACACTGGGCGTGGATGGTCGTGGTTGAGGTCCGGCAGGGAACACTGGGCGTGGATGGTCGTGGTTGAGGTCCGGCAGGGAACACTGTGGATGGTCGTGGTTGAGGTCCGGCAGAGAACACTGTGGATCGCGGGTCGCAGTTGGACGAGGACGACGAGGACGACGAGGACGACGAGGACGACGAGGACGACAAGGATGACAAGGAGGACGAGGAGGACGAGGAGGAGAGGAGGAGGAGGAGGACGAGGCAGGAGGCAGGAGGAGGCAGGAGGAGGCAGGAGGAGGCAGGAGGAGGCAGGAGGAGGCAGGAGGAGGCAACTGACATAAAATCTAACAACCCTCACCTGGCAGGTGGGGAACTACCTTTGTGTGGCAGTTTGGCAAAGTTCTCAAATCACATGTCGTCACAAGTCATATGTGATATGTCGTTATAGCAGAGGTTGTGATAGCAGATGCAGATGAAGAAGCTTCTGTTTCAGAACGGTGCAGAAAAACCTTTAAGTTTCAAGCTTCAAGTTTCAATGTATGCAGCATGCAATTGAAGAGTCTAGAATAGTTTTGCGTTGAATGAAATGACGTTGGACTTATATGACTTATAACTCATATGAAATCATTGCAATGAGCAGCACTGATTTGACAGAGTGGAGTGCAGACAGTGTAGCCAACATTTTGCCTGATGCTGGCATTGAACCATGCACTCGCTCGCTGCACATTCAGTCCGAGAAGGGCTCCAACTTGATTTGAAACAAACATAAAGATTCAGATGAACATGAGCCTGAATACGAACAATCTCACAATTCAAGTAAGCCACAAAGGCATCATGAATGAACAACACACAAGATAATTTCAACGTGTGTGTGTGTTTGTTGTGTTTTGTTTTATTTATCGTCGCGTCCACGACTGCCTGTTGTGTCTTCATGTTGGTTCTTCAGTCAATGAGTTAATCAATCTTCCTTTTTTCGGAACTTGGAGCAACACAACGTGCTTTAGTGCTTTAGCACTTTAGGCTTCGGCTTTAGGTCTGGTCATAGTAACAGGGCCTGAACGGTTCTAATCAGACATAGAAACATAACAGAACAAATAGCTCATGACTCATGACAAATGATCTTGTCATTGGTCATTGGTCATCACTGTCATGATTCTATGATTCTATGATCATCGTCAATAAAATATCGTCCATTAGTCGTCCATAGTCCATCAAAATTCCTAACCATCATCTGTCCATCTCTCCGGCCCTATTGCTGCTATTGCTGCTATTGCTGCCTATTGCTGCCTATCGCTGCCTATTGCTGCCTATTGCTGCCTATTGCTGCCTATTGCTGCTACTTGTGCTACTACTACTACTACTACTCCTACTCCTCCTCCTCCTCCTCCTGCTGCTCCTGCTGCTCCTGCTGCTGCTGCTGCTGCTTCTGCTAAAGGTTTTTTTCTTGGTGCTTGTCCAGGCCCTTCAGGTGCCTAATGTGCTAAAAGATATTCTAGTTTCTTTGTTGGTTATCAGGCTGACTGACATCAGCGTTGATACGGAGACAGATTGAAGATGAAGACGACGACAATGAACTACTAATTATAGTACAATTACTCTTACTTACCACTCCTACTGACTCCTACTCCTACTCCTACTCCTCCTACTACTACTGCTACTGCTACTACTACTACTACTGCTGCTACTGCTACTTCTACTGCTACTGCTACAACTACTGCTACTCCTTCTGCTACTGCTACTGCTACTCCTTCTGCTACTCCTACTGCTACTCCCACTGCTACTGGTATTTCTGCTGCTGCTACTACTGCTACTACTGCTCTCATTGCGACTGTTGCTACTACATCATGACATGTCACTGTCACATGTATGATTTTAATCAAGAAAAACACTGAGGCCATGTGCGGAAAGCACGGGCAAAATACGTGCTCGATCTAGCAGACTCGGAAATGGACTTGAATATGAAGAAATTCCGGAACATCTTCCGAAGGGATTTGGTTTTCAGTGCAAGCTCGGGGTTCTGTTCTTACCGGATGTTTGTGACACTTCGGGGGGCTGCAGCAATGATAATGCCAGATGTTCAAGAGTCTGAGAGATTGAACAAGACACTGACACTATTTGGTGAACGGTGTCCGTCGGGAACGTTGGACCTTTGCACTGGTCGGGCGGCTATCAAACATTTTCTGGGACTGAACGGGTACGGAACATCAGGCAAACGACGTTTCTCTGATGTGCGGCCGACAGCCGAACTTCTGCTGAGGGAATGCATGGCTGGTTGGCCCCTAGTTCAAGAGGTTGAATCAAATGAGTATCTGTTCAAACCAGTGGATGCAGCTCGTTCAGATGTTCCTTCCCTGAATGAAGCCAAGTCAGAATACAAAGACATCAACCCTCCTGACTGTCCAGAAATGACATCTGGAAAGTTGTGGGCAGCATCTGTGAACGCTAGAGTTCGCAAACGCCGCAAGCAATTGGATTTTGATGGAGTTATTGGTCTGCATGCCATGTCGTTTGTTGTCCCTCCAAAGCCACCAACAGAGTCGCCTTTGATTTTTGTGATCACCGACAATGTAAGCTCAACAATGCATTTGGTTGCTTGTCAGAGGCAACCGGGGCAAACCACCACATACAAGATTCGAATGCCTTGGGTGTTTTCAAAGAGCCATGATGTCTTCCTACGTTTCTACAATCTTCTGTCGCAGGGTTCTGCTGGAACAATCAGCGTGACGGAGTTCTTGCTGAATGTTCATGAAGAGTCCTGCCTTGACTTGAGTAGTGTATTTCATTGTTTGGATTTGTTTGTCTGTTTGGTTTTTTTTCCTTTCCCTTTCCTTTCCCAAAGTCGGATTGGTCCGGATTGGTGTTAAGACGAGCATTGTGTGGCATTGCATTGCATTTAATAAATCACAGGATTTCCGAGTCTAAGAATGGCTATAATGTCACTATTATGATGGACAACTAGTGTTGAATAATTGTAAATAATGATATTGACTCATTGACTCATTGACCCAACCGATGCAATTTGAGTACTGGGTGTCGGTGTCAGACTTTACTATCTCAGACATCGACACAGACATAGAAGGAAGGATCTAGACACAACTTGGACACTTGGACACTTTGACTCGGATTGGATATTTTGTTTCAGCTGAAGGATGGCTCGATGTCTCCAGTCGAAGACACCGCACATCAACTTCTGGTCTTGACTTCATTGGACACAAAGACAAAGTCCGAGCTCAAGAAGCTTTCAAAGAGTTCCAGCAACAAGTCTGCTGATGGTGACAGTGACGAAGATGAAGAGGATGACGATGACGACGATGATGAAGACAATGGCAGTGATGATGATGACAATGACGGTTTGATTCAACAACTGAAATCATCTGCTGCTGATGCACCTGGTGGTGCTGACATGCAGTCTGGCATCGAGGATGAGGACCATCCGATTGGCATGATAAACGAGCTTGTGGAGGGGTTTGAGGAATCACACAGTTCAGATGCTAATTGCTCAGAGAGTGAGTTGGCAAAACGGGCAACAGCCAAGTGTTTCCATCCAGAAGAGGCAGACGCTGACGCAGATGACACCGATCAGTGGGTGTCTGATCAAAAGGGCGAAACGCTTGAACAAGCACGTGAACGCATTGAAACTGAGATTGCGTCCCGTGCGCTGGCTTCTGGTGCCAAAATTCGAGGACCTGCACTGCTCACAATTGCAGAGGAACAAATAGCTGAACCCTGGCTACGTTTAGTTTATCTTTTTTTTTGGTGGGAGAACCAAAACCAGCTGAAACTTTGGCAATCGATCAGCAGCTAGCCAGGTATCGTATGGTATGGTATGGGCTTTCATTCGA